AAAGCCAAAGGGGTTCATGCTGTGAGCTCCCACATGGTGGCACTGTTGAGCTATCGAGCATGAGGGTCGTGTGCGTGTGTGTGTAGATATGTGTGTGTGTGTGTGTGTGAGAGGAAGGATTCCTACCAGAGAGGTGGGAGCGCTGCCAGTGATGTGGCACAAAACAGAGCCTCTGTCAGGGGTTTATGGTGAATCACAATGCAGCATCACAATGCAGATAACAGCACTACATTCCTCTGCTGTTCGTACGTTACTTCTCATAAAATCAAACCTTTGCATATGCACATGCAGATACACCCTGCAAATCAAGTAAGATGTTTCTCCATGCTTGTTTTTATAAGCTGACATTTCTCTTACAGACTCTCTTTCGCCCACACATGAACAATCTCAGGTAGACCCTCCAGTATCTCTGCAGCTCCAACTCTCTGCAGGCACAGTCTCAGCCGTCTTCTGACTGCTTGACTCTTTTTCTCCATCATGGCATGGCTGAAGAAAAAAAAAATATTTACAGGTCAAAATTGTAATAAATGTAAATCGACTCAGAGTAATCTTTCAATTCAAACAGCAAATTGAAAACAGGCAAATCAAGTCAAATGTTCTCTGGTGCCCCGAGCTCCCTGCTTATCTGGCCATGTCCACATTTAAAAAGCAGCTGGGCAAACAGTCTTTTTACAAATCCCAAACAAGCTTCACATGACGGCTGCGGCCTTAATTGCATTAAGCTTATTGCTGACTCTGGCGAAGCACTCAGCACTGTAGGGGGTTTGGAGCGCTCATTAGGGAAGAATCAGTTATGATGAATATTGCTTTAAGAAAATTTAACTTTTGCCACAGAAACCCAGTGGGGATGTGGCCCCAGAACCATTAGCTTGACTGTGTAACACTGGAAAAATTAAGACATACAGCTCATGTTGTTATAAATACCACAATAAATACTCAGGGGCAGCTTTCAGACTCACGGTATAGACCTGTTGGAGGTGGTCAGGACCGTGCAGCTCCACTCCAGGATTAGGACCTTTTCAGTGAAATGAATGGCATGATTTTAGTATAAAAGTAGACAAAAGGTGATGAAGCCCAGGGATGCCAAGAATACAAAAATTCGTAAGGCTTGGAAATAAATAAATTTGTCAATTGATTTATACTTGTGAAGTACGACAATTCTCAAACATTACATTTAGATTTTTTTTTTCATATACTTCTCCTGCTTCTCAAGGGACTTTTGTTAGTCCCATTCTCCCTCATTTTTAACAAACACTAAAAACCTCAACATGGCTACCAGTGTAAAAGAAACTTAGTTTTTAAAACAAGAAAAGTGCTGCGGTGTTATCGGTCCGATAACCGGACCGATAAAGAAAGGATTTATTTATGTCTTAGATGTCCAACAAACTTTCTGTAGATTGAGGAATAAACTGTAGTCTGCTCTAAATTCCACTTGAAGGCTATTGCAGCACAACCGATTTGTCTAAACTTTTAGCGGAACACACAGGCATGAGATAGAAAATTGTCTCTCACTACAAGATTCACAAAACTGCCATAGCTCAGTAAAGGCTAGGGGGCAGCAACTAAATCATCCTGTTGCCTCATGAAAAATAAGAAAATGACACAGAGGAAGTAAGTAAGTGTTTTTGATTTTCTGGATTGGATAAACTAAATTGAAACTGATGAATCGACCACCAACTTAAAACTTCAGCCTTAGCTTTAAATTTGTTGCACAAACAGACAGATAATAGAAACAACTCCTAATGAAAGTAACACAACTCTTCAGGCACACGTGGTACAAATGCCTCAAAAATGGAGGACAAGTTGTACGCATTTTGCTGAAGTTGCCTCGCCTTATCTGTAAATCATTAAAAAAGCTGGAGAAGAGGTTTAGTCAAACCATGCAGCTTTATGGTGCATTTGATCAGCCATGACGTCACCCACAAAGAGTCTGTTTCTGACCACAGAGCTGAGCATATGTTAGTCATATGTAACTTTTTATCCTAAATGTAGATTGTGAATTGAGTGAGATGTGAAAAATTGAAAAGTCTATTTTTTGGTCGTATCGCCTCACCCTACCCCAGACGACTGACCCCTTTCAGTAATTTTTTTTGTTTTGTTTTGTTTTTTTGTTTTTCTCACAACAGGGGATGACAACAGTTGACTGTGGACTACTGTGCAAAGTGGTCAATAATGGGGCATGTATTTGGGAACCACAAAGGTAATACTAAGTTACAGAATGAGCCTACTAAACACAGAAGTTGGTGATTCTGTCAAATGAGGAAAGTCACAGCAAGGGCACTCACATAAGTAGTCAAAGAAACGTGGCAACCAGTTTTACCTGGTTCTTCCACTAACCAGTCTAAATAGACTAAACAGTCTACTCTTCTCTGTAATACTCCTTCAAAAATACAAAAGCTCCAAGATAAAAAAAAATAATAATAACAGCATAGAACTTTAGAGGGTACATTAGAGAAGTAATGGTGTACCAGAGGGAGCAAAGCTCAAATTCATCCCTCAAGTTCTCACGTGATTTGGAGCAGAAGCACATGTGAGCAAATTGGAGACTGGATGTGGCAGCAACTTGCTGTGCACTAAAATACCACAAGTAGAAAGTTTGACATGTAGAGATAGTGCTGTTTTTCAGGACACCCACACTTTTTGGAAGAGCTGAGGGTAAGATTGATCCATTTATACCACTTGTACCATGTGATGGTGATCAGATTTTTTGGGGATGATGTTGTCGTACAGGTTTAAAATGCTGAAAATGTTTGACAATTAGGGGGTCTGATATAAATCCTTAAGATTTAGAAATCTATCAAGCTCTAAATTTACCAGATACATCAGTGCTGACATAGGTTTTACACATTTTACATGCAAGACTTTTGTATGATTGTTGTGTTGTGTAATACTTCTCTAAATGTCACGTGAGACCAGAAGAAAAAAACTGAAAAGACATGATTTGTTAAGTTTAGCTGCAGAAACCTGCCAACCTTTCACCTCCTCCAAGAGGAGTCTCATTTCACCATCAGTGACACAACAAACCAAGTTTCTGCATCCTGCAGAGATCGATTCAAAATCAATGCCAGGACATCTGCAGCAAGGACAGCTTGCATATCTAATACTCCAAAAGCTGCAAGGAAGCAGGAGGAATCTGAAGAGAGGTAAGTGAGCAAGAAGGTGAACCTCCTGATGGACCTGTAGGGATTGTGACGTGACCCTCAGACTTTTCTTTGTACAAGCCGCACAGTCAGCTGAGCCCACAGTAAAAAATCACATGCAAACAAGCATATCCCTGTCCTAACTTTAAATCAGTTTGCCTTTCATCTCTGTGGATTTTTAAAAAGGAGGGAAGCAGCGCTTTGGTGCATATAACATTTCCGTCATTGAGGTATTCATGAAAGTGCAGATATGATAGGCTATAAAAGTATGCATGCATAAATGGCTGCAATACAGAGCCCTCTCCAAATGCAGGCTATCATCTCTCTGAAAGGTGAGTTATATTTCATCACTGAACGCATCTGCTTTCAGTCCAGAGCACCTCAATAATCCTGCAATTTTTAGCCTTTTGGAGCTCTCATTCATGTCTTTGTTTGATGTAGCTTATAGTTGTAGTGAAGGTTTCCTGGCTGATTGATGACTGGAGTTTTTAGCAGGTACCAACATCAATGAACATGTGAGAGGATTCATTTTAAGCAGATAAAAAAAAAGCTTTGCTATTTTTAAAAAAACAGTAAATAATTCAGAGTTGGCCCTGACTGGTCAAGATCCAGCATGTATAATCGAAATATTTCAATATCTCAAATTATCTGCTGTGGTCAGTTCACGTTTGAAGAAAGCCCAGGGGAAATTAAAATGAAGGCAAAATCATATGATGTGAAAATGAGGTGTTAGATGATGCATAATTTATGTTTTTAAGTGGATAAAGTGTGAAAAACAAATATTTTCATATCCTATATAATTATGCATTTCATTGACTGTCAAAAAAGTGCTAAAATGTATTTTCAGGTCACAATTTTTCATGATGATTTCTTCTGCTAAAACCTGCTTAGAGACACAGACAGAATCACAAAACTTGACAGTAAAAATAAGGAGATGCAGAATTTGCTGAAATGCAAATGCAATTCAATGATGAACACTTTGTTTTTTCCTTTTAATTCTAAATCCACACAATATCAACGATTAAGACAACTGCCAATCTCTGTCTTCTCTTGTGTCTGATTACATGCTGTAAGAGAGAGAGCTCCTCTTTAGTCACACTTGATGAATATGATCTCTCTCATATATCACTGCTTTCAAAGATATGTGCTGCGAATGTCACCCTGCTCTTTCTTCTTCAGGTCGTTCTGAAAGCTTTGCATTTACAAGCCTCCTGTCCATGTAGATCCACTTGGTTAATACTAGAATATCAAGTGAACATATCTCAAAAATGAGGTCAGAAAAAAATCTTCTGATCTGAGCTGAAGAAAAACCAGAGGGAATTACTTTGAAGAGCTCCAGTCTCAGAGTGGAGGTTCAGACTTAGGAACATAAGTGGTTGAACTCTAGACATATCTAGGTTATTGGTTTCTATGTCTCAACAAGGTTGTGCTTTTTCACTGCTACCTTTAGGTCACATGTCAAGAGAGTAAAACAGAGGAGTCTCCGGGTCAGAATGGGCTTCCTTCTCACGCCATCAGGGCTTGCCCTCTGAGACATGGAGCAGCTCTGGACAGAATATCCGGGGCTGAGGTGGTTAAGGCGCACAATCAGCTGCCTCCCTGTTGTTTGGCACATCCAATTGGAAGGAAACCAAGGGCAGACTCAGAGCACACCAGAGGGATTACACATGCTGTATCCTATCCTGGCTTGGGAACCTCTCAAGATCTCCAGGGAAAAGCTGGAGGATGTAAAGAAGGATTTCTTGGCCACCTTACTAAACCTGCTGCCCCCTGAGATCTGGGCTTATATAGATAGAAAATGGATGGGTGATGATGTGTTCACTGTTCCCAGCAGATATCACTTGTTCTTGTGAAGACTTTCTTTTTCAAAATCTCTTGTGCAAAGGTGATTATCAATTCTCTTGCACTCTCGCCTCCAAGGAGACACCCAGAATAGGCGCTTTGTGTCAGCCAGTTTAGTTGCATAATCCACCTTGAAAATCTGGAAAGAACAGCAGAGGAGCGGAACTAATAAACGTATCATAATGCTTCAATTTAAAAGAGTGAGCACTCATAAGTTATTCATGGATCCTTTCTCTATCCCATTATTAGAATCTGATCAGATCAAGTTCATGACAAATACAATCATCAACAGTGAGCGTCAAACTGAGGATAAAATGAACGGGTAACAGGGTACGCCGGGACACAGTATCATCCCAGTTCAATTATGCAGGGGTTATGAGGCTCTTGGAAGCAGAAGAAGTCCCTGCTGAAGATGCTCTTATTGTTGATGTGGTCAGAGGAGGATGCAATGATTTTACAGGCCCATAAGGGGGAATGACTCGCCAAAACCTTTTAGGCTTTTATGTGAAAATGCCTGCGAGGCATGTAAAGTCTAGCTTTATTAAAGACCACTTAAGCTGCCTTTATGATACCTAACAGCACTAGCTGATGGTTATTGGCCTAACCTTGCTTCAGGCTGTTTTATGAGGTTTATGCTTTGAAAATAGAATGGCTCTGGGTATTGTGTAAAGGTTGTGACTGCTCCTGCATGTAAGAGTGAACTTTAGAAGGGGTGGGGTGGGGGGGTATTTATCAAGGAGTTCATGGTCATTGATCCCTTTAGGCCAGCCATTCAAACCTTTCAGCTGTGACCTGAGACAATTTAGCCACTGGAGAAAATAGCCAATAATTCTTCTCTTGGCTCCCAGTTGAGTCGGTGGATATCTGGATATTAGAATGATCAGAAAAATACATTGTTTCACAAGAATTTCAAATTTTTCGTATCTGAATTATCGACTTCTGCAAGTCTATGGCCCTGTCTTATTTAAGAGACTGCACCGTCGAACCGCGCATTTGCAGCGTGCGTGAGCTCATCACGCGGCGCGAACGGTGTCCCATTTGGCACGAAATGCTAAGCGCGCTTCAATTTGGTCTCAAAACCACACTACCCCCGCTTCTTTTTCAAGCGTGCATTTATGCACGCTTTCGTGCAGTTGGTATCCCAGAATTCTTTGCGTGCCGCTGCACAGCTGCACATTTCGGGTGAGAGGCTGGACTCACTTGGAGACGCAGCGCCTCTTCAAAGAAAATAAAAGAAATCCAAAAACAGCAGACAGTCAGCTTAGACCGTATGAGCGCATGATCTCTGAACTCACTAAAATCTGCAGCTGCAAACCAAACATTATAGTCTTTAGAAAAGAACTGATCCGCTCTGCTAAAACAATCAAAAACATTAGAAATAAGAAAGCTGCCAAAACTACATCAGAGTATCAGGACAACATTGAGTTTTTTTTCTTTTCTTTTAAGATTTAGAGATTAAAGTTGTAAACTTGGGAGAATAAAGTCATAAAGTAAATAAAGTCATAAAGCTGCTTATATGGAGGGGGAAATGACTGGAACCGGTCAACTGCAGGGTTATCGGTGGATGTATTAGCGGGTCATTCAGAGAGTTTTTGTGGTTTATTAAGAAACAATCCAACTGATGATCAACATTTGTGATCCAGATGGAGTCGCGCTCTGATGAGCACCACGTCTCTGACACCGGCGGTAACCTACACCTGCAGAGACACCAACACCTTATTATAGCATATGGATTCATATCATAAACTAAAGCACAATGTCATTCACAGCTATTTACGGCTGCATTGATGGATTTATCCTAAGCATATTCATTTCTGCCTCCACAAAAGCAGCGATTTTCTTCAAGTACACCTGTTTTTTCCCATGGAAAAGACGTATTTCTCATATATTCTTTTTTAAGTCTTTCAATCAATCAATCAATCAATCTTTATTTATATAGCACTTGTCATACATAACATGTAGCACAAAGTGCTATACACAGAAAAAGGAATAAAGAAACAAAGAATACCCAAATTTACCCCAAACCAAGATTAAAAGAATACCCAAATCAACTCCAGCCCAACCACTAAGTCCTACCCCAGATCTAATTGCAACAGAAACAGTATTAAAATGCATAAACTTAAAAGGGCTTGATTTTGGGAAACAGGAATGTGTGCACTGAGGAAACGTCATTTTAAAACTCAAGTTAAGGAAACACAGGAGGTTTAGGTTAAAATCTAAAAACAAAGGAACAAAGAATGAAATTTAAGAAATAATAAATGAAAACAAGAGTAAAAGATACTAAAATAAGAGCACCAAAATAGCTCAATAAAAGATGATCCTGTGATTAAAACTAGAAAGAGATAAATGCTAAAACACTTAAACAGAATTAATGATATAAAATTTAGTTAAAAGCAAGACTAAAAAGGTATGGTTTCAGTTTGCTTTTAAAATCATTAAGATTAGGTGCAGTCCTCAGGTCTTCGGGTAAGCTGTTCCATAGACGGGGGCCATAGTAATAAAAAGATGCCTCCCCGTATGTTTTAGTTTTAACTTTAGGTATTGTTAACAGAGAACTTCCTGAAGACCTGAGGGCTCGAGCTGGCTCATAAGGTAAAAGAAGATCAGATAGATAAGAAGGGCCAAAGCCATTAAGAGCTTTAAAAACCAATAAAGCAACCTTAAAATCTATTCTAAAAGAGACGGGTAGCCAATGCAGAGAACTTAAAATCAGTGTAATGTGATTTCTCTTTCTGGTCCTTGTTAACATCAGTGCAGCTGAATTTTGTAATAATTGCAGGTGTGAAATGTTCTTTTTGGGGAGACCAGAAAGGAGGGCATTGTCGCACTCGGGCTGTTTTTTAAATGATAAAATGCCTTCTTGGTGATTTTGTAAATTTTTATGAGGCCATGTGAAGCATGTGTGTTTGAGTTCATGCAGCCTCGACATTTTGATTGCAATAAAGTAAACGCAGAGACAGAACTCAGACAAAGATACATTGGTTTTAATCTTTTTGAATGTGCACGGGAAGCAGGTTAGCATGTTTGTTTTTGTGCAGCTGTGTAGTGTGTGTTGGTCAGCTGTTGTTAATCACTGTTGCACTTTAAACTCCAGGTAGTGTGTATGATGGGAGTTCAGGTATTTAAAGTGCTCCCTATAGTTGCTTAACTTTCGCATTACAGTAAAGGAGACTGTAGTATTTAAAGTAAACCTAAATGCAGGCATGTCTCTCTGTCTGTAAGAGCTTGGATTGTATTCCAATCATGATTATGGTCTCCGTGAGCATGGAAATATGATTATCAAGACAGACTGGATGATATTGTACTACCTGTTTTGTGGCCCCCATTATCATCCTTTACACTGAATGAAGTGCATCCTCCTGTATCACCTACAGGTGAGGAGCAGGAGCAGGAGGAGGCAGGTGGGTGGATCAGTGTGTGTCTGAAAAGCCAAGGGACATAGTGAGCATGAGCAGAGAGAGGCTGTGGAGATCAGATAGCGTATTGCTTTAAACTGGCTGAAATTAAATCCTTCTTGCAGGAAAGTTTATACCTGTGTATTAATGTAAAGGCACTATAATACACTGTTTTATCTAAGCCTCAGTGAACGAACCGGTGCTCAGCGGTAAGTGAACGATGCCACAACCCTCCCTTCTCTGCCTGTCATTCAGAAGTCGTTTGTTTCGTTCACCATGTCGTTCACTGACTGACTGAAACATTTTGTTCACTGACTGAAACATGTCCTTCACTTACTGACTGAAACATTTTGTTCACTGACTGAAATATGTCGTTCACTTACTGACTGAAACATTTCATTCACTGACTGACTGAAACATGTCGTTCACTTACTGATACATGTCGTTCACAGACGTTTTATTCACAGACTGACTGATACATGTCATTCATTCGCTGTGAGCAAATCACCGAGCCCGCCTGCTCACTCGCTTGCTGGCATGCCAGGGTCTTGGCTGAGTTCAACTGAACTGAGAAAGGAACGAATCAGGTCTCGGAGTGATTCAGTTCACATCATTCACTCAGCAGTTCCGCTCCTTTGAATGAAATGTTAATGAACTACATAACACTACTTTACAGTATTATTTTTCTCACTGTTAACTGTATAATGAATGTTAACTGGACAGTCTGTAAATTCTGTGATCTCATTGTCTGTCGCCTGTGTGCTTGTATGGAATTCAAAGAGAATAGGGTCGGGAAGATAGAAAAGTCTGCAGTTATTTGACAAAGACTTTGACTTCTTTCTTTAGCTTTTCGGCTTTTTAGCATAACTCAGAGGAACAGAGAGGAAAAGGATCACTACGTTCACTTATTATGCTTATATAATCCCAAAGTGGGGTTCTGGCCGGTCCCAAGGCTCACCGAGGCTTTAAACTCAGACAAGGGATCCCTGACATAGAGAAGTGATTCCGCTCCGGGCCCCTGTCCTCCCAGGCATTAAAGCTAAATGTACAGTGTTTGACTGTGCAGCCAGCCAAACCCAATGGCCTTGTGGATGGCCAGCTCTCGCTCTCTTCCTTCTTTTTCTATCTCTTTATCCGTTCCACCCGTGCTCTCTTTCCTCTCTCGTAGCCTCGTTTTAATTGCTTTGAAGCCGAGCGCTCACCTCCGGGAGCTCAACAGGATGTTTTACAGAGCTTTGGGGAGACTGACTATTAATAAATAATACCTCTCTATCTACACTACAGTGGGATGGACAGAAGCCTGGCAGCTTATTGTAACCTACGATGCTTTGCTGCTGAAGGTTAGAGGACAGAGTAAGACAGCTGACTCCCAACAAACTGCGATTCCTAAAAATTTACGAAGAAAAAAAAACGTAATTGCTGGTTGTTTACATATTACCAGCTGCCACATTTGTAGTCAGAAGAGCAAAGTTGTGCATTAGCCATGAAATACACACAATAATTAAATCCAGCCTTATCAGGTGTAACATAACAAAGGGATTTGCCCCGTGCATTGCATAGCACAAAGTAGAGTATTGTTTTTTAACCTTGTGCCGCCAGTTAACAGACTCTGCGCTGTAAGGAAGAAAGTTCTAATCAAGTCAGCTTGATTAAACCGTCATCAAAACAGTATGCCTAATTATAATTCCAAATGAAACTGGCACCATCTCCTGAGGAGGGAGAGGAAAAAAAAAAGAAACAACAAAACACAGTATATCTTTGTGTTCCTGGCACTTCCAGTGTCTTTCTTACTATACAAAGCTTTGAGTTTCTGCTTTGTTGTTCTACTGCAAAGCAAAGGCTTTACACTAAGGTTTATAAGTGTGCTCTGTGTCTCTAAAGCTCTGTATTGACTTTATAACTGAGATAAAAGCTGACAAGACAATCGTTCCCAAATGCCCTTGATAAAAACCTGCCCATCTACTCTCCTGTTCACTTCTTTCAAAAAGATTAAATCCAACTCTGACAGGAAAAGGCACAACTAAAAATTACAATAATTAAAGAATCAGAGCGATGTATTTCTGTTTCCTTTTTTTCCATGGTTTCTCTTCTTGGACTGTCAGCCTTAACATATTAATTGGGATTAAACTGAAATTAATGAGTTTATTTCTTATTGCTTACAGTAGCTCCCAGACTGCTCAATTGATAGGTCAAAATCAAAATTTAACTTTGGGCTCTATTTTTGTGTTGATGCGGCAGAGGGTGGCAGACCCCGCACAGTGGTATTTTCGTCTGACGAAGCCTGGCATACAGCCAGTTTGGTATTTTCGTGGACTGAGGCGCACCTAGGTCCGCCAAGCTGGGCGTGGTGGGCGGCATGGGATGGTGTCGACAGAATCAGTTGGCGCAGTGACATTTTCGTGCTCGCTGTAGGCGTGTAAAGTGCGCTGAAAGCTCGCCGATTCAAACCTGGTCAGCTTTCAGCGCAGGCGGAGCGCAGCTGGCGGAGCGCAGCTGGAGAAGATCTTGCAGGTGGGGGGGGCCTTGTTGTTGAGTGCTTTGTGGGTGAGAAGGAGGATTTTGTACTGAATGCGATGGGGGATGGGGAGCCAGTGAAGGTTCTGGAGATGGGGGTGATGTGGTTATTGAGGTTTATTGAGGAGAGTGAAGGTAGTGCCATAGAGGAGACTGTTACAATAATCTCGATGGGATGAAATGAATGCATGTATGAGGGTTTCAGCTGCAGAGTAGGAGAGGGAAGGGCGGAGGTGGGCAATGTTTTTGAGGTGGTAGTAGGCTGTTTTGGTGATTTGCTTGATGTGCTGGGTGAAGGAGAGGTTGCTGTCAAAGAGAATACCAAGGTTGCGACAGTGGGGGGAGGGGGAGAGGGTGGCGTTGTCAATGGAGAGATGAAAGTCTGTGGCTGTGGAGGTAAGGGAGTTCAGGCCGATGATGAGGAGATCTGTTTTGTCGTAGTTGAGCTTGAGAAGGTTGCTGTCCATCCAGTGTTTGACATCAGAGAGGCAGTTTGAGAGGGAGTTTGAGAGGGAGCGTTGGGTCTGGGGGGTGATGGAGGTGGAAGAGATGTACAAATGAATGTCATCAGCATAGCAGTGGAAGTGGAGATTGTGTTGACGGAGGATGTGGCCAAGAGGGAGGAGGTAAATGATGAAGAGGAGGGGACCAAGCACCAAACCCTGGGGGACACCTTGGGACACGGGGGCAGTTATAGAGGAGCAGTTGTTAATGTGGATGAAGTGATTACGGTCTGTGAGATATGAGTGGATCCAGTTGAGAGCGATGTCTGTGATATTGAGGAGGGAGTGTAGGCGGGACAGGAGGTTGGCGTGGTTGATGGTGTCAAAAGCGGCAGAGAGGTCAAGGAGGATGAGGATGGAGAGTTGGCCGAAGTCAGCAGAAATGAGGAGGTTGTTGGTGACTTTGATAAGGGCAGTTTCAGTGCTGTGGTGGGTGTGGAATCCTGATTGAAACTGTTCGTAAAGATTGCTATTGTTGAGGTGGGCTTTGATTTGTGATGCAATGACACATTCAAGGATTTTTGACAGGAAAGGGAGGTTGGAGATGGGCCGGAAGTTATTGATGTCGTCAGGGTTGAGTCCAGGTTTTTTGAGGATAGGGGTGACAGCGGCCAGTTGGAGTGAAGGGGGAACAGTGGCGGAGTTGAGGGAGGAGTTGATGATCTGTGTGATGATGGGAGAGATGACGGGCAGGCAGTGCTTGATAAGGGAGGACGGGGTTGGGATCCAGGATGCAGGTGGATGATGACATGGAGCAGATGATGTTGGTCACAATGAAAGAAAGAGCCAGGCCATGGAGCACGATGTGACCTTTATGCACAGATGGTTCAGATTTTAATGCCATTTTTGGAATTTATGTTGTGATCTGTGCGCACAACCCACCTTTGTCAAGTGAGGTTTAAATATATGCAACTTAACGTGAGTGTCTTTATTTGTGGAAAAGGGTGTTTGTCTTACCAGTGGGTCCAACATTACACACACCACTTGATGTACCTTACGCCAGACTGCGCCGCTTACCAAAATACCAATTTGTGCTTAGGAATGTCTTGTCGGCGCGCCTGTGCCATGTCTCTGGCGAGGCATGGAAATAGAGCCCTTTGTGTCCAATGCAAACACCAACAGAGCTCTAACTTAAAGAAGGGGACTCACTATAGACCTGTGGATGTATCTGAATTAAAAGACTTCACATTTGTGACGATGCATGATTTACGTTTGCTGGAAACAGTACTTTAATTTACAGAACCTGTATGAAATAAAGAAGGCAACCAAGTGGGCCAGAAGCACCACTTGAGCAGTAGCATTGTATGCATTCGGCGGGAGAGTCGCAGAGAGTCGCTGTGATGACGCTCGGCTCATATCCCTCGGTTGAGTTACGCAATCTTTTTACACTCATAGGCTGTATCAAGTGTCAATCATAGAAAACATAAACCTCCTAATAACTTTTAAAAATGGAGCTGCCAAGAAAAAAGAAGACTTAAGCACAAACCAGTCTTACAGTTACTACATGTCAAAATTGCAATCGGGGGGAGAAAAATGTACAAAACCCAATTCCAATGAAGTTGGGTGGATGTGTAAATCATAAATAAAAACAGAATACAATGATTTGCAAATCCTTTTCAACCCATATTCAATTGAATTAACTACAAAGACAAGGTATTTAATGTTCAAACTGATAAACTTTTTTTTTTTTACTTTTTTGCAAATAATTATTAACTTTAGAATTTGATGGCAGCAACATGTGCCAAAGTAGTTGGGAAAGGTGATAAAAAGTACTGAGAAATTTGATCTTGCTCATCAAACACCTTTTTGGAACATCCCACAGGTGAGCAGGCTAATTGGGAACAGGTGGGTGCTACGATTGGATATAAAAGCAGCTTCCCCAAAAATTCTCAGTCATTCACAAGCAAGGATGGGGCGAGGTTCACCACTTTGTGAACAACTGCATGAGCAAATAGTTGAACAGTTTAAGAACAACATTTCTCAAAGTGCAATTGGGAATCTAGGGATTTCAACATCTACGGTCCATAATATCATTAAAAGGTTCAGAGAATCTGGAGAAATAACTGCATGTTAGCGGCACGGCTGGAAACCAACATTGAATGCCCATGACCTTCGATCCCTCAGGCAGCACTGTATCAAAAACCGACATCAATGTGTAAAGGATATCACTACACAGGCTCAGGAACGCTTCAGAAAACCACTGTCAGTAAATACAGTTAGTCGCTACATCCGTAAGTGCAAGTTAAAACTCTACTATGCAAAGCGAAAGCCATTTTTCAACAACATCCAGAAATGCCGCCGGCTTCTCTGGGCCCGAGCTCATCTAAGATAGACTGATGCAAAGTGGAAAAGTGTTCTGTGGTCTGACGAGTCCACATTTTAAATTGTTTTTGGAAATAGTGGACGTTGTGTCCAAAGAAGAAAAGAACCATCCAGACTGTTAAATTTCAAAAGCCAGCATCTGTGACGGTATTGGGGTGCATTAGTGCCCAAGGCATGGGTAACTTACACATCTGTGAAGGCAACATTAATGCTGAAAGGTACATACAGGTTTTGGAGCAACATATGCTGCCATCCAAGCAACGTCTTTTTCATGGATGCACCTGCTTATTTCAGCAAGACAATGCCAAGCCACATGCTGCACATGTTACAACAGCGTGGCTTCGTAGTAAAAGAGTGCGGGTCCTCGACTGGCATGCAAAGCGAGGAGGCAGACTGTGTCCATTCTATGTACAGTCTATGGTATGTTGGTATGGTATCAAAAATGTTTTAAAATGCAAGATAATGGAATTTCAAAATGTAATAAGAAAGGCGTTTTAATGTGAGTAATTATCAAAATTTGGATAAAATATAAATTCTTTACCTTATGGTAAGAAATGATTGGATTTAAAGGATGTTTGCACCAGTAACAGAGTCAGTAACTCATGAAAAAAAACAATCAAACATAATGGCAGTTTTACATATTTAGCAAGTTGAGTTAAGAAAATATAATAATGGAGAAACCAAGATTAGATAACAAAGAAGTTTAGATGAATTTGTCACATAGTTTAGTCTTTTTCTTGTATATGGTCTTGTATTAAGTGGGCTCTCCCAGGGGGTGTAATCCTAAATGGTTATGCCTCTCTATTGAGAAACCAAAGGGGGAATTTCCATCTCCAGTCGGCTCATCACATAGGCTGTGTATGTATGTTATTTGGCACCATCAGGATGAGAGCCCACAGTGCAGCTCTGCAAAGCAGAGAATGGAGATGCTGACAACATATAAATTGTTTGAACGATGCAGAGCTGAGGTTCTTCAATAGCAGTAGGACATTATGCTTTGGAGACTTTCTGATTGAGCAGATACAAGGAGGCAAATTATGCACAATTCTTCATGCAAGCAGCTTTATAAACAGAATTGTAACTGCTGCAGCTGCCAAACAAGCTAATCATTGAATCACCTGTATTGAAGCAGGAGGGCATTAATAACATACAGAGCAAGGTGTGCCCAGGATCAGGGCTGATTCATTATTTCAGAGGAAAAACCTGCTTTAAACCCATCAGTTTACTCATGCTTCATCCTGTGCAGGTTTTTACTGAAAAAAAATGGATCTCCACTATATGAAGCATGAGTGGTTGGAGAAGGATCATATATTAAAGGAAAGCTTGTATCAAGTTAGATAGATGTTGTAACTGGTTGCCTAAAGACAGTGTCATGGTGGACTAGTTCCCCCTCGGTTCTCCAGCTGGTTTTTCTACACAAAGGTTAAGGTGATTAACATCCCTTTAAGTAATACACGTATTGATAAGTACCTCATACAACCCCTCCTTAAATTCTGTACATATATCTTCTCAAGATAAGGTTATTTTTCATTTGTGGTAGCAGCAGATCTATTTATTTGTACTGAAAAGAAATGCAAATGGAAAAACGTTTTTTTTGGAGAAGTGCGTCAAATCATGATTGCAAGCACACAATTATCGTGTTTTCCGAGGTCTCTAAAATGCATTCAGTCATATTATACAAAAACACCTGGAGCAGTTAAACTGGGCTAGAAAACAACTGCTATCACCCTACGTTGTACAAACTCAGAGCATTCAAGGATATGATTAACTTTTCAGAGAGTAACTTTCTTTCACTCTGCCCTTTTGCTTCAGTTTGTATATGCTCCTTTAATGAAGACTTATCTCTACCTCAAGAGCCCACCTTGGATGTACAGACCTGCTCCTCTGCTCCACATCTACTCCCCAGGCTATGTGACTAATTAGACTCTGTAATGCATCATGATGGAAGGAGGAGATATTGAGGTTTAAAAAGGAAAAGGGGCTACGAGATTGATCTGGTCCTAAATGATAGAAATTGATCATGCCTGTACGTGGCAGAGGGAGAGGACCGATAGCATTCCCTAATGAGGAAGAATAGCCATTAGTGACAGAGTTAACAGATATGTGGCCAATCTCTCACGCTGATTAAAAAGGCTTATGAGCGCCGTGACGCGTTTGTCCTCCACATTCAGAAGGAACAAGAGAGGGAGGGGAGGATGGAAAGGATGGATGAAGTCAGATTTAGTTTTAACAAGGCGACCTGTGGGATTTCAGATGAATGCATTAAGAAAAATAATATATTCTCTTTATGATTTGACCATACTTGGCATGAAATGGAAATTAATGATGTGGATGTGTTTGTAAATGAATTGAAGACTGAAGAGGCAATGAACATGTACATACCTCTGCACAAGCTTACAGGAAAATGCTGCATCATCTCACCTGTCCTCCACTCTGTGGCTTCAAAGTGCAGATTCATGTCATGGAGAGTCAACTGGAGACACACCTTTAAGGACCAGGGGGCAGAAAAGATGCAAACGTTACATTTCCAGATAACTTGAACAAGCCAGTTTAATCCTGCTCTGCTGAATAGGAGACCTTGATTGTTTCATGTCTATGATCATTTCAGTGCATTGCAGATATTGAAAAAAAGCCCCAACATTACCCGGCCTCTCATTCTAGTCACAAATGTGAAGTTTTCTTTGTTGATAATATGAGTCTAAAGAGAAAAAAAGTCTTTCTTTTAGTCACATTTCTAAAACATTAAACTGTGAACAACTGTCCATAAAAGCTGTTGCATAATCTGAGTCCCTCTATGGTTGCGACAAAGATTTCACACTTGCTGAGCGGCTTTATTATTTGTGTCATTTAAAAATGTTATTTGGGACTGTTTTCCACAAACTGCACCATCATGTCTGCTTATCTAACCTTCCTTTATTGTGAGCTGTATCTCGCCTGACAGCTCAGTAGAGCCACATTCTTCTCTGGGCTCCATAATGTGTGAAAGGGTTGTTGTCAGGACACTGTTTTCACAGAGCCACACACACACACACACACACACACACACACACACACACACACACACACACACACACACACACACACACACACACACACACACACACACACTAATCCCTGTGCCCTTCCTCTCTGATGTCACCATGCCACGGTGACAACTCGCATCTCCGGCTTCTTTTTTTTTTTAACAGACACACTCTACCACACATTGTCAAGCTTAATGTGTTTGTGGTGATAAATTGTCCTCTACTCGGCCTTTTGTTACTCCTCTTTAAGTTTATGGCTTTAATGGGGTCAAATAATTGCAAAAATGTGGACTCTATACTGTTCCTACACAGTTTTATATAGAGCAGAGGGGGCTGGTTAAATTTATGTCTTTCAATCTTCCAAGCTGTGGTCTCTCCCTCAGCTTCTAGTCTCAGCACATCCGAAACAACCACACACACAAACACTCGCACACATCTAGAGGAAAACAGGAAAATCAATGCGCCGTTGTTAGCATTTATATGGCTTCTGCTTGAATATGGCCGGCTAAGAGGGCGCCTGCAAGGCACAGGAAGAAACTAAAAGGAAAGAGAAGTTGTTAGTCGTAGCAGGTGATGGCTGTGAAACTGACTCTGTTGTGTTGTCCACTTAACAGAGTCCATTAAACACCACTCCAGATTCACGGCTTTCATTAATGTTTAGTGTCACTTTAGACCAATCACAAGTCAGGGTTACTTCAGGACTAATGTGTGCCAGGGAATATGGTGATATTATCTGTATTTGTTGTCATTTATGGAGTTATTCCTTATTGTTTTCAGTTGGTTGTTTTTTCATTGAATAGAAACTCTAAAAACATAATAAATTCTAAAACTGTAAAGCGCGCTAATGTGAGTCTATCTTCTACCTGAATCAAAGTTAACTCCCTGTCTTCTGTTCCATCATCAGGTCTCAGTCCTGCATGTTCTACTGTTGCATGACATATTTGCAATGAGGTGGAGCGCTTACAAACAGGCCCACATTTTACTTTGACAGGGGAGGCCTAACTGGGGTCCTGACTGAAGCAAAGGAAGCATGAGGTATGTGAACGCACATGTCTATAACTAGCCTTTATTACTGGTTTGTGGTGTAACATCAGCTATTAAGTTAACTTGAACATAACTCCTGCCTGTTACAAGACAATCATAAGCTTTTCAAAGTCAAAGTTGATTTTACAAAAAGCTAAACCCAACTTTAAAACTCTGAAAAACTGAGCATCAGAAATTTGTTATAATTTTACTGAAACTAAAAAGAAGACAGCCAATTTAAACAAATTAAACCTAAAGGAGCTGTATAGCGGTCTCCTACCTGGATGTCATGGTTTAAGTTTACACTGGTATAACAATGCAGCAGTGGTTTCTCAACATTTTTCTCATCTTATTGACTTTTTAATGATTTTCCTCACATTAATTTAACCGTGAAATCATGACACTGGACTTCAAAACTGCTTTAAATGCACATTAATGGAATTTTAAATCTGGGGTTTTAAAAAATGTAATCATTTAGTTCCCCCCCCCTTTTTTTTACTAATTCACTGTAAAACTTCAGTTAACAGCTGATGCTTTTAGTTGTTTTGTTTCTGTCAGCTAAATCACCTTGCTTCTTGAAAGGCCTTTAATTTTCTTTTTAAAGTCCTCTTCAGCCAAAACCAACAAATGTAAACCTTTTTCTATCATAAATTGTTAAGAGAATCCTGTCTTTCAGCAGTCACGGGGAAGAAATCTATCAGTGTAGGTGGCGTTTCTGTGAAATGGTTATAATTAAGTTTCAGCAGGTGTCTGTTAAGGAGGAAATACAGGGTTAAAAGAAATGAGATTTATTCTTAAAGTAGATCTTTTGCATGCTAGTGAGTTTGCATGTGAAACAGGGCTGTTACTGAGCACTTTCTATACTCTGTACTCTCTCTTCACTTGATGTTCCATATATTCATCATAATGTGGTACATTTTTACACAGTGTGGGTTTTTCTGTAAGGTAAATGCAGATTGAACTCTTCTCTCTATGAATAAAAAGGCTCTGGGTCCATTTTCATTTCCCACTGTGAATCTAGCTAATAGGCTGAGAGCAGTACTTACGGATTGTACCTGCATGATATCAGCTTTACATGCCAAATTTAGATCACAGGTAGACTTAAGAGTCTGTATCAAATTCTTGTTCCCTCTGTGTCTGCACTCATTTTCCTTTCTTCTCTACCTCTGTGTAAAACCGTAAGATCGTAATACTCTGACGGAAATCTGGATGAAGCAAAGGAAGGAGGAAAAGCAAGAAAAAAAAAGGGAATAAATAAAACCTACTCCATAAGTATTGGTGCTAATCTTTTGATTTGAGCAAATTTCCTTCTGCAGCTGAATCAAAAGGTCTATTTGCAGTTTTTTTCTTAACAGATGAGGTTTTAATTTTCACACTTCTGTGAATTACCTCATTCAAAGGACCCTGTCAGGAATAGAAAGATCTCTATCTCTCCTCCTCTCTCACTTCTTTCCTCTCTCTCTCTTCTTGTTGTGTGGACAAGGAGTAGTGGGGAAATAAATACACAGAGGTTAGAGGCTTTTGTCTTATGCTCAGTACTCTTAAAGTCTTTGGAGAGATTAGCCCTCTGTTTAATTGGATATGCAAATCTGACACTGCTTTGCCTCATACGCCAAGTAAAGCAAGAGAAAGAGGAGAAGAAAAACCAGCAGACCAAGAAGATTTCACTCCATCCTTTCCAACAGGTACACACCAGCCAGCACAGGGGTCAAACCTCACATAATTGAAGCTCCAGCCTTTTTTTATCCTTTTGCACCAGGACGCGCTGGTTTGGGTGTGATGCTCCGACAAAACAAACATTATTCCTCTGAGGATCTTCCCTCTTTTAAACAACAGCTCCAGCTTAAAGGACAGGAGGAGTCCCATGTTGCTCAGGACTGAGGGACAGGTGGAGACTGGGGAGGTGGCGGCAGCCAAAAAGCAATTAACATTCACAAATAGCGTCAGGGAAGCTATCCGCTGAGGTTACACAGGCGCTGAATGTCACCTCCTGCCTGGGCCCGATTCCTTCATTAAACCCTCCCATAAGGGCAGACACACTTAAATACATATTTGCATACAAATGCAGTGATTAACCCTCTAAGTGCATTGGCTTTGGCTGCTTCTCAGAGGCCCAGGTGCTAATATCTCCCTCACCGTTTGTCTGCGTTTGCTTGAAATGAGGTGGAATAATGATCCCTTATTGACTTTGCTGATTTGGCTTCCATTGGTTTCCTCTGGCTGTTTTGTTTTTTGGCCTTTTCTGAGGTGTTTTATTTCTATCTTCTGCTAATAAATCACAGCAGAGCTCAAGTTTTCAGTTAACTCTAAAACGGTTGGCGCTGTTTGATTTAAAGAAGATGTTTCCTAAAGCAATGAAGCTAAAAAGTTAAATGATACCAATCAGAGGATTTAAGTATCTACTTCCCTATTAGAAAAAAGTTGGGTTACTTTATTCACTAGGAACACAGCATTAAATAGGAAACAAAGTGCATAGATTATGTGTCTGATATTAAAACTGAAATTCCTTGTTTTTATTAAAACTATAGGATATGCACAGTTGCAAAAGCTAGAGCAGAAGACACATGATCCAGGGTTTCCAAAAAGAATGTGAAATTGTGATTTTTTACACCACAGTTTGCCTTAGTTCATCTTAAATGACACTTACCCCAGAGAAGTTGCCTTCTTCTGGATCATATTTGCATTTTTGCACAATACAGTTTTTCTAATTAGAGGATAAAACAAACAGTGGTCTGGAGGAGATTGACGCCCATGCAGTGGTTTCCATAACTGCCATGTTTGATTTTGGTGCTCTGCCAATGGAGGGCCCAATCATTAAGGACATCCTGTATCATTTTTATGCCTTGCTTTTTTGGAACATAGATTTCTCCAGATTTTGGAGATGTTTTTACCATGTTATGTGCTGTAGATCAAAAAATCAAAATTCTCAAACAATTTACAGTTTTATGCTGATGAACAGGTGGTCTCTGGGTGATTTACCTCCCCTCATGTTGACCTCTGAGACACTCAGCCTCTCTGCATTGCCTGTTATATGGATACCTAACTTGTTAAAATTTACCAAATAAGTTTGGAAATGTTCCTCCAGGAGATTTATTTAGCTAGTGTTTCTGGATCATATGTGGAGTTTAACCTGCATTTGTGGCTAAAGAGATATTGTGATCACAGACTGGTTTTATTGAGGGATTTCAGCTAATGCAGTGATTTCCACAACAGAGTCATGTTTGGTTATAATGCAGTGCTGCTTAAGGACATGTAAATTACAGCCAGTCAGTATAGTTTTTCAGCCTTTTCTGTTTTGAAAACAAATTTCCAATGATATTTTGATGCTGTAACTGTTCAGTCATAACTGTCAAGGAGAAGTTGTTGAACCATTGGCAGTTGCTCTTCGGCCCTTTCATGTTCCACAGGAGTACAATACTTGTATACATCCCCACCAAGGCAATGGAT